AAAAAAAAAAAAAAAAAAATTCGTCTTATTTTCAAATATGAGTTCCGTGGGGGAACCAATGTAGCACAGACAGCTCAAAATATCAATGAAGTGTTTGGGAAGGATGTGGCTAACGAACACACAGTACGTTGATGGTTTCAGAAGTTCCATTTTGGTGATTTTAATCTTGAAAATGAGCCACGTGGGAGACCTGAAACTGAGGTGGATAATGATGAGCCAAAAGCTGTAATGGAAGTAAATCCATCTCAACCTACGTGTGAATTAGCAGCAAGGTTTGACATTACTATTTCAACAATATTGGACCATTTGAAACAAATGGGCAAGGTAAAAAAGCTGGATAGATGGGTTCTGCATGAATTAAACAAGCATCAGAAGAGACATCACCTCAAAGCTTGCCTTTCTTTGCTACTGCGACATAAAAGCAAACCATGTCTACACTGCATTGTTACACGTGATGAAAAATGGATTCTTTTTGACAATCCCAAGCGTTCGGCACAATGGTTAGATAAAGATGATGTGCCGAAACACAGTCCAAAACCGAACAGTCATCACAAAAAGCTGATGGTGTCTTTTTGGTGGTCCAGCGTTGGTATTATCCACTACGGCTTCATGACACCTGGTCAATCGATTACAGTGGATATCTACTGCAACCAGCTCGATGAAATGATGAGGATGCTCATGATTAAGTAGCTGAGATTGGTCAACAGAGACAGGCCAATCCTCTTGCAAGAAAACACTTGACCATATGTCACATAAACAATGCTGTTCAAACTACAGAAGCTGGACTTGGAAACTCTCTGTCATCCACTGTATTCACTAGACCTTGCACCAAGTGACTACCACTTCTTCCAGGCTTTGGGCCACTTCTTGCAAGGAAAAATATTCAATTCTCAACAAACTGTGGAAAACACCTTTTGTCATTTCATTGCCACTCGTTCTCCAAGCTTCTCTGCTGCTGGCATAAACAAGCTACCATTAAGATGGCAAAACTGTGTTGACGGTTTAGGTGCATCCTTTGATTAATTGTACTGCTTCTTGTTTGAGATATAATAAACTACACTTTTGATTTGAGATCGGACATTTCATATTTAATGACCTAATAACTAAAAACAGAACTGACTCCAAGTTACGAAACAAAATGAAAATACCTTATGAAGAGAATGCCACCTTACCTCAGCTCTAACATATGCTTTTCTTATTTTAAATCCCAGTTTCTGAGCTAGTTCTTGAGTTAGTTTTATTACATGTTCATCCTGAAAAAGATAAGTAGGTACGATTAATGGAGGACTATATTTACTAACTGTTGAAGAAGAGACAAAACAGTGACATTTCCTGGCGAGACATTTGCTTTGATAGCAGTTATACCCAACTGAAGCAGGTTGAAGGGTGGATGAAAAATTTAACTCTTTAAATGCCATTTCTCCATATGGGAATGCTAAATGGTTATGATGTAAACAAACGAACTAAAATATAAATTCCATACCTGTGGCACTGCCAAGGAGCACTTTGCTACAGCATCGTAAGCCTCTTTGTATCTTCCTAAATCACTTAAAGCCTTAGATTTCCGATACAGAGCTTTGCAGTTACTGGCATTTAAGCTGAGGACTGTATTGCAATCTTCTAAAACTTTATCATGGAAACCCTGGTGCGTGAGATCAAAGAATAAAGTTAGCAATCAAACAATTCACTTCTTTTTTTTTTTT